TTACGGACATACACATCATTAGAGATCCTTGAGTTGTACTTTTTCTAGTTAAGTACTCCAAATATATATATACATACATATACCTTTGATCACACATTTTGCCTGTGGGAATTACCTTACATATTCTGTCTTCAAAGTTAATCAGTGAGCTAATTATCTCCTAATTTGACTACTGAAATGGCCTTCAAGCCACTTCCTCATTGGGTCCATCTTCTACATGAACCAACACTTTTTCTTCTACAATGCAAACATTATTATGGAGTGCTTCTTTAATGGCTCTTCACTGCTTACAGTGTGTCCAATGTAACCCTCCCCTAATGTATGTATGGAACACGGGGTGCTATAAGTTTGTCTCCTCCAAAACATATTTGGAAATTTTCTTGCCACTATAACACTACTAAGAGTGTCACTTCAAAAAGTGACAACTGTCACTATCTCAAAGGTGGTTTAGCTTGCAGTCTGGGGTAGACTGTTACAACCGCAAAAAATAAAGACAAGAGAATGTCAGTAAAACTTCAAGGATTGTTCAAAACATGGAGATACCTGAGATCATCAGCTCTTAATGTGTCAATGGGACACATCCCTGACACCCATAACAGAACGGAGAGATTTAATTTGGCTCACAGTTTCAAGGTCTCACGCCATGGTCAGCTGGTCCCAAGGTCAAAGCATCAGGGCAGAGGAGACTGGAGGAGAAAAGTTGCCCACCTCGTGGTGGTTGGGAAGCAGAATGGAGGAGGGCATAAAGAACAAGATACAGATCTCCAAGTCTTATTTCTGTGAGCCACCCTGACACACCCAGAAATGTGCTTTCCTATTTCCCTGGGCCATTCCTCAAGCCATTCAGGTTGACAGTTAAGCTTAATCATCACGTCACACTCTGTGTCAGCTGGACGTTCAAATACAACTCCTTAAACCATACTTACTCTCCAAAGAAACACAAACAAGTTAGTATTTCCACCTAACATAGTACAACTATCCTTTCTACTACCAAAAATGCACTAATCCCTTCCCCTTCAGCATTTCTCAGAAGTCCTTAGTAAAATGATTCCTCTGAGGTTAAGAAAACTTAGCAGGCAAGATAGCTCAGCAGTCTAAAGTGCCTGCTTAAGCAAGCTTAGGCAAGTACAGAGACTGAGGTTCAATCCCTGGCACAACATGGTGCGCCAGCCCCACACTAGGGCAGGCTAAGACGGCCACAAAAACAAGACAAAATAAAAACAGGAAAACTCTTAGCTATAAAGCTCTATAAAATTTAAAAAATAAATTATTTAATCCCCAAATACTATGGTAAATACTTCCCTCATAAGGGAAGAAGGAAAGAAAAGCACTGGACCAAAGCAAGACAGAAAGCTAGCAAGGCAAACATTTAAGTCCTACAACTCCCTGTCTGGTATCCAGGGCACATGGCGGTGTTCAGCAGCTCCACAGGGCTTGGGCAGCCCCACTCCATGGCCTTGCTGGCTGCAGCCCATGTCACACTTCCTTGAGCTGGCTCCACTGTTTCCATTCCACATTCCTGGGGGCTCTGATAATCCTAGGGTCTCCACTGCACTTTCAGCTTCATTCCCACAGCACCATGCACTGTTGTCTTTGAGGTATGGATCGTGACTTCCAGGTCTTTCTTTAAAATCTAAGTGGACATCTCCTTGACCCCTAATCCCAGAGGACCCTTAAAGAGAGGCTCCCTTAAGAGAACTTTGTCAAGCAGCAGTCCAGGGCTTCTCAAACGAGAAGTTTACACGTTTGCACCCTTGAGCCTGTGATGGGCAGCATCATACTGATTTCTGCGATGCCCTGAAGTCATCTTTCTTCTCATGCATGTACGAAGTACCTGGTTTCTTTGTGAGGGTGCTCATCACTTTATCAGCTGTACCTCCTTTGGCTCCAACTTTACACATGGTTTCATGGTGGCTAAAATTAAAGTTTTTCAAAATTTTCTGCTCAAATTTTTCTGCCCTGCTCTTTACCTCTCATTCTCCTATAGATCTGGCTATCGCCACACCCTAAATACTGGGCTGCCTTGAAATTTACTCTGCCAGATCAGTTAGTCCATCACCCTAATCTCAATCTCTCACAAAGTAAAAATTTATTTTAAAACATGTTAGTCAGTGTGCAAATGATGTGTTAAAACATTCTTTGTAGCAACCTTAGGATGTAGTACATAAATAAATAAAATTTTAATTACTGAGACAATCCCAGAGTAACATCTTTTATCTGACTTTATTAAAATCAGATAAAAGATATTATAATAATGACCTCAGAAGATCATCATTTCAGCAAATGATCAGCCTCATACACCACCATGGCTGTCAATAAGCACATCAGCTAGGGAATATGCCACTGACTGCACAGACAAGTTCTGTATGTTAGTGACACTAAAAACCAGGACCAAAAGTCTGGCCAACCACCCAAATAACCAACCACTCATATATTCACCAATGAATTTGAAATGCTCCTTTTTGCAAAGCAACACTGAAACAGATCCCATACTTCATTACTCTGCTTCAAAAGAAATATGACATTGCTTGACTTTGTTGAAGATACAAATAATTTCTTAGTCTTATTCAAATATGCACAATCCTAATATAAAATATCTTTTTATGAGAGCCCTGATTTGTTCCAGCATTATTTTTCACTTAAGCTATTTAAAATCATTGAGCTTAGCAAGAGCAAGGGCCTGAGTTCAATCCCTGGTTCTGCAAAAAAAAAAAAGAAGAAGAAGAAAAAAAATCATTGAGCTTAGGCCTGGCCAAATAGCTCAGCCTGTTTAGGCAGACAAAAGGAATGGGAGTTCTATCCCCAGGCATTCAATCCCCAGGCTGCTGTGCTGGCCCGACCCCCGGGGGCATGCTGAGACAACAAAACTGGGCATGGTGGCGCATACCTGTAATCCCAGCTCTTGGGAGGCTGAAAACAGAAGGATCACAACAAATCCGATGTATACAATGAGACCCTGTCGACCCTGTCCTAAGTTAAAAAAAAAAAAAAAAATTCACTGAGTTTGATGCAGCCATGGCAATTTAGTAAGACACTTCTCAAAAAAAAAAAAAAAAAAAAAGTGCTGCAGTGCAGGTGTAGTTCTGTGTAAAAGCCTAGAGAAATCACCCCCTGCCCACAACATTGCCTCTTCCTTCTCCCTCTCTTTGCTAGCCCTTTTAAAAAAGGGTTTGACATTGGATCTTACTAAGTTTTTCAATTGCCTAGGTTGGATTCAAATTTGATACACTTCTGCCTCAGCCTTTCAGAATGCTGGGATTACAGACATGTGCCACCACACGCAGCTAGAAATTTCTCTCTAAATGAAAAAAATACCATGTTCATTACAAGGAGGTAATGAACCTCATGTAATTTTAATTCATTGTGTTTTAAAGAGATATGATTACTATACAGTGGTACCTTAGTTCAGGAACTTAATTTGTTTTATGATTTTGGGGAAGATTGCTACATCTATGTTTGTGTAGGGATGATAGTTTGTCACACCATGTGGCATTTGTGAATAGAAACAAAATATTTTTTTGCTTTCCACTTTTACTTGAAAAACAAACTGTGACCAGAAGCATTTGTGAGCTGACGTATGCTGTACTTTTAAAAATTACTCCTAAGATGAGGCAGTGTGTTAGACTGGATCACACTATGGTGACTAGCATATTGTCTAGTCCTAACTTAAGGAAAACTGCTTTTGGCACTTGCTTGCACTTTTCATCTCCATTACAAAGAACGCTTGAGCTCAGGTTTGAGATCAGGTTTGCCTGGTAGTCTTAAAGAGTAACACCCCTCCCCCATTTTTTCAACATTTCCTTTTGATCATTTCAGACAATTCATCTTTTTGAATGAGAAAGAGTAGAAGAGAGGAATGTTCAGTCAGGTTAAGTAAACAAAGAATCTGTCACATAAAGCAAGTTTAAATCTTAGTAAGAGCATCCATGCAGGACAAACGGAAGCATTATTCTTTTGAAAAACATTATTCTTTTAAACAGTGTGCAATGATATCCTCCCTAGAGGGTGGTGGACAGAGAGGGAGGAGGATAGGGAGGCAGAGTGAGAGGGTAGGGGGAGGGGGAGGAGGAGGGAGATGGAGATAGAGAAGGAGAAGGAGGGGGGAGGAACTTCCTCAGAAGTCTTTTTCTAGATTCCAAGAAAAATGAGTGAAGTAGAGTTAAAAGTCAGACTTGTATTTTTTAAAGTAAAAAGATTCAAAGTTAGAAATGCAAAAAGGTGCTCACAGGAATTTGTCTGAGTTCTTTTTAAATTACATATTGATCATTCCATGAATAAGAATAGGAAGATTTTCACATTAAATCTGTAGATGAATGCATGTGTTTCTGCTCTAAAACTGAGTTAAGTACATTTTCTGTTTTCAAAGGATAACTATATCAGACCCAACATCCTAAATGTACGATAATTTTATTCTTTTAGTTGCTTTTAAGCGTATCAATTTCTTATGCTTAATTATAAAATGTGGGTTTCGTTTTCGGTATTCTGTGTTGCTGTTACTTCTCAAGAACTTGGTATCAAATAACTCTAAAAACTCAAAAAAGTTTGCCATGGGCCAGCGAGATAGCCCAGTGGACTAAAGTGCATGCTCAGGCAAGCATAGGCAAGCACAGGGACCCCGATCCTGGCCAACCAGAGTCCCGGGGTAGTGGCGCACACCCGTAATCCCAGTGCTGGGGAAGGTGAAAGCAGAAGGATCACTAGGAGTCCAGGCTGCGTAATGAGACCCTGCAACAACCAAATACATTAAAAAAAAGTTTGGTGTGACTTAAATATCAGAAATGGGCTTTTGAAAAAATAGGTGTTTAAATTGTTTGAACAACAAAAATGTAAGAGTAGAGAAATTACTTCTTTTGCATCAAATATTATTTTATAACAGTTTAATGAATGCATGTCCAAACAATGATCTCTCTTCAAAGATTTTGGAGAAGAAAAAGATTTTGGAGAATGTGTTATGTTTTGAATATAATAGAACACAGAAGAAACATACTAGGAAAAAAATTATGCTCTATTTATTTAGCAAAATAAACCCAAAGAAAGTTTTCAATTAAAAAATCATAAGATTCATATCCAGATTAGATCTCCCATATTCTTTGGTATTGAAACTCAGAATATACAACATTTTATTTTGATAATTTTAGTCACCAGATGTATAAGTTTTCGATCTATAATTGTCTCGTATTGAAAAATCAATGAATGCATTAAATCAACCAATTACAGATTTGAAGGGGCTAAACATCAGCAAGCAACTGAAAACAAAGAGGTTTTTAACAATCTTCTACTAGCATTTTTATTACATCATATGAAAAAGTATTCAGGTCCTGTCGTAACAAAAAGTCTGTATTTCTTACAACTGTGTGCTTCAGTCTTTTTCATAATATAGTATCTGGAAATTAGTAATAGCATTAAATTAATGATAATAAAACCTAGTTTTATCTAAGTCTTTTGTTTCTTTTAAGAAAAAACATTATTTAAAAAAAAAAGACATTTTATTCCTTCTAAAAGTAGTACTATGAGGACTGCTAAGTTGGAAAAGTCAGACAAGTCAAGAAACACCAGGGGACAATCAAGCTCCTCTCAAGCCTTCGATACATTCTTTGCTTGCTCCAATCCTGATTTCTCCATGCTCTTTCTTTCTTATGAAAAATATTAAAATGAACCTGGGGAAAAATTTCAGTAAGTGGAGCAATGATTTTTTTTTTTTTTGCATAGACTCATGTGATCATAAAATGATCAAGCAATTAATTCATAGCTTCAAGGCTAACACTGCGACTGGGAACAAGAGGAATACAGCCATAGTAAGATGCAGCTGTCAATCAGAAGGACTGCATAAAGACATCTTTGGCCATGTAGGCTCTGGGCCCTCTGGAAATATGTCAGTTGCATTGCCAACATGACAAAGAAAATTGCAATGTTCAGAATTAAGAACAGTCTGGTATATGAAGCAGACAGTGACAGGGCTCTTCTGTGTGTAGTCGTCACCATTCGTGCCTGTCCAAACCGACCTTTCATCAAGCCCCCATTTTTATGCTTTTCATATGTTACATCTGCAAAATCTAAAAGGTCTTTCATTTCCTCATCTTCATCTATGGGTAGCTCTTTCTGTGCCAAAATCTGAGCTTTTTGTCGAATCTTTTTCTCATTGACTTCAATCTGTTCAAAAATATCAGGGACTGCATCCACAAATTTGTAGTGCTTGCCTCCCCTTCGGCTTTTCTTTGACTTACTATGCTGCTGCTGCTGTTGTGATATTGCAAAAATCCTGTCAATGGCTTCTTCAGTCTGTCTCTTGTCTGAAAATCTTAGCAGGCGCTCAGCAGTCTCCCTAAAGCTTGCCGTATTCCGGACTCGGGACAGGATCTGCTTCTCCAGCAGCTGGAACACTGGCTTAAAATGCTGCAGGTTCTGTTCCACAACAGCAGCATAGTCCTTCAGCTCAGGGACAGAGGTGCTCTTGATGGCAGAACTCTGGTCAAACAGAATTTTCTGATGATCTGCAATAACCTGTGCAAAGGCAGACTGTCCCGTGGTGTCAGCTGTCCACAAGTAAGTTGCATAGGCATGCTCACTGGTGGTTATGAACACATCCAGTCGTTGCCAGTCCCCATGGATGCTGAAGCTCTGCACATCCACAGATGGTCCTATAAAGAGGTAAGCTGCCCTGGTGATGGGCCGGCGGAGGTGCATGGTGACATTCACATAGTTTGTCCCATTGTAGGGATAGCCCCGAGGGTATGTCACTGAGGCAAAGGTTGCTTTCTCACTGTAACCAGTGTCATCCATCCAGTACATTTTATACAGATCATTTCGCTGCCTGATGAAAGCCCCATGGACCCCATCTACCACTGTCTCTTCGAAAGGAACATCCACATTGTGGAAGAAACTTGCTACTGTCTCAAGAGAGCTCTCCTCTCCCAAGTGTATCTGGTCCACAAGGAGGAGAAGCTGTGGGTGGAGGAGGATCAGATTCCTCTGAATGCTCTTCAGCTTCAGCTGGGGGCTATAAGCTCGCACAGCTTCTCCTCGGATGAACACCACTCCATCTTTCTCCACTGCTGCAACCACTCTTCCTTGACAGCTTGCTGCCAGGTCATGCTTGTATTTAGACCATTTAGATGAGCAGTCTTCTGTGACCTGGCCTTCCCAGGGAGAAAAGCAGCTCTTTGACACTGCTGGAGAAAACATTAAAACGTTGTTGAAAAATGTGTACTTTGGCCCATAGAGAGCCTCAGTAATGAAAGGCACACCATTAGGAGCAAAAGTAAATGAGTTCTGGTCAGGATGTTCATGCCCTGCATTAAAATTCCTCCATCCTTTGATCCAGTCTTTGTATTTGTTTCTGTGGACAATGTCATATATTGCACGTCCCCCAAGTTTCCCTGACTTGAAGGAAAGGAAAGAGCGGTCAATTTCTGTAGGTAGTGCACTTCCGTAAGTCACAACACCCCAGTCTTCAAAATAATGCAACGTAGGGGTGCCAAAATCTGGAGGAGGAATTGATTTCAGGCTGGCATCATACCTAGAGGGGTAATTTTAAAAAATTAAATGGTTTTCTGATGAAAATGAAAATAATTTTCCAGAACTGTGATGCTACATAATAAAGCTATAAAAAACAATATACAAATACTACCCAGAACTATGGTCAGGTAGACAGTATTAAGAGTATTTCTGAAAACACACCAGTATCTGGCACACACAGCAAAAACCAGCGGTGACCAGAAAGGAGTGAATCTTTACAACTATGATCCTTGGGTTTGACACTGACCTGATTTTTGCTGCTAATCTCTGCATAGACCTTCTTTGCTGGACAATTTCAGAGCTGCCACCCAAATTACTGGAGCTCACAGATTCAACCGTTTCCTTTCCATTTCTAGTTGAGATCTAGGACACGATTTCTAGTTCCTGATGTAAGAAACTTTCTGCTAGGATCTACATGCTAACAAGCCTTGTGTTGTAGTAAAGAACTGTTTCAGCAGAACTGATACTATTGAATGTTTGATTTGAAAACAGTTCTTCCTATAAAAAGTCATAAGTTAAAACAGAGTAGAACTTCATAGGTTAGGTATAATTCATTGCCAAGTGTTCCTCAAAGAATATAAACAGACAAAATTTTAGAAAACTAATCTTGGAGGTTTAGGCCAGATTCAAATATTTTGCTTTACTTTGCAGATTATGTCATGAATTTTAGGAAATATTTTATTTACAGTAAATGTTTAATGATAAAATAATATAACAAATTTTTACACTGACTAAAAACACAAGTTTTTGAAGTCAGAAAATCTCCAAAAAGTAAAAATAGAACTGACGTTTATTTTTGATTTGGGGTAACTGCCTTGAACTATCATATCATTTGCTGCTCAAGGGCAGAGAGGTAGACTCCTATTATTAGCTCTTTAGTACTTTTTCCTACTGAGCCAATCACCTGCAGTAGAATTACTCTTATTGGTGTTTGATTTTAGAACAGTAACTGGCTTTCTGAACCATAAAACCAGCTATAGCCTACAGTCTCAGGTTCAGGACATCAGAAATCATATTTCTATTGCATAGTGTTGGTTTCACTAATGTGACTTAACAAATACAGACACAAACTAAACTAGTCATCCTTGCCTTCGTTTTGGCTGGTTTTGTACACTCCTTTAAGAGAAGATTTTTAACTGCATTTAGACTTATCATTAACCTCACTCCTATCGTCAGCATTATAGTCTGGCTTTTTACTTATGAAGTGTAAACACTATTATGTAATTCCTCCATATCCATGAAAGGAGTAGGTTAATATATATAGTTCTTTTGTGAAAATAGCTTTTAAAATGCTAAACAATAGTTACTATTTTACTAATATTTTTCTAATTGCTTAAACTTTGAAAAAAATAATGAAAAAACTGTATAAGACTCATTTTGGAGTTGGCTGTAAACTTTCATTTCTCAAAGACCGTGAGGATTAATAAATAACTGATTCCCTATAATTTTCAACTTATTGGATGCCAACAATGTATTTGGCAATACTTTCAAAGGAGAGTCAAACTTCTTCTGGGCTTAAAAGATTACAGCAAAAAAATTACACGGTCCTTTAGTTATCAAAGTGAAGTTGTCAGACACTTTTAACACTCTTCAAAGTTTAGGAACAACTTTCCTATTAGAAGATTATAATGCTCCACTTACCAAAACAACATAAAATATTTCACTCTTTTTTTTCAGGATAATTTGGTCTAAGTTTTGGGGTTTTTTTCTTTTTGGGGGCAGGTTCTTATATGATTTTAAAAAATGATGCACAATTGAATCATGCTAACCTATGAAAATACAAGCCGAGGACATCTCTAGTATAAAAATACCAAGAATCATGCACAGCAATTACATCTTGAATGTAAAGAAACATTTTGAGCAGAGGTTCAAACACTGATATAAGTTGTATTGAAGCTGTACATACATAGGTGATATGGGAAGGTATTTTAAAAGGCTTTAGATCAATTTTTCTTTTTAAATAGAAAAAAGTTAGTGCTCAACATGAATAGTATTCCAGGTACAATTTCTCATAAGGCCAGCTAACCATATCATACCAGAGAAACTCAGTGTGCAGAGTGCACCAGCGCTGCCCCTTGGATGCAGTTCCTGGACCCTCCACCACACGGTTCCTTCTGATCTGGTCAGCCAGCCAGTTTCCACTGCCATTACGCATGACAAATTTATCCAGGAACACTAACTGGCTTTCTGGACCATAAAACCAGTTGTAGTTTGAGTCTGCAATAGCCACAGTTCTTTGAAACCCTGTAGAAGGAAGTTGAACAAATTAACAGGTTTAAAATTATATACTCCGATAAAGTCAGGTGTCGTTACCGATCTGAATAAGCAAGCAAAAAGTTAGATTGGATGCATTCCCGGTAGTCTTAAAAAGGAAGAATGGAAGAAAACTGTGGGCCAGAGAGAAATAATTGTTACCTGGCCATCAACTGGAGCAATATTCATACATACATACATACATACATACATACATACATACATACATTACGTACATATATACATGCATACAAATACAGAACGTGGTTGAAAATAGATTGACAAAACTGAGAATTTCTTCCAAAATGTTACCATGACTCTGTTTACATTTAAATAGTTTCTTTTTAACAGTTTAGTAAATGCTTTTCCAAGTAAATATTACTGTAAAATGTGATACTCCAAAAATCACATTTCAAGTCAATGAGTTCCTTGAAAGCGGATACTTTATTTTCCTTTAAGTTGCATTCTTGGTATGCTGTCTGGCTTATAGACACTAAATATAAGTTGGTTGAACTAATACGCATGAATATCCTCGCAAGTGCTCATGTTAGAAGTTCTCCTAGTGCCGTTTCCAGGTGGGGAAGTAGCCCAAACACAGTCCTAACAGATCCAAGCCAGAAGTGGCTGGCTGATAGATCATAGTTCAAATTACCAAGCACTAGGAAACCTAAAGGTTCCCTACTTAAGGTATGGTCTTTGTTTATCAAGATGATCTGCAAAATAGACCTCTCCTGCATATCTAACAAGCAGTTAAATAATATAGCGCTTAATGTAAGTCTAAACTAATGCTAAAAAATTTGCTCTGTTGTATTTTGCATAACTAATTTATTAAAGAAAATTTTATCTAGTCTATGTATAGGCAACCAGGACAAAAAGATTTAGGTAATGGATTCTTTGTCGCAGATCTGGAATCACAAAATAAAAAATTTATGTTCTGGGGAAAAATCTATCCTGGTGGAATATTACCTTCCAAACTTTTCTAAGATTTTAGTCATGTTTCAGAAGGGAGTTTCAAAGCTTTCCTAGAAATAAACAAGTTATTAAATCCCATTCTCTCAGAAGACTAAGCTACACAGCAATACACACTAGAATTTTTGTAGCAACTGCCTTTTTTTTGTGTTTCATATTTTATACTATTTCAAATATTTAAAGAAAACATTAAAATATGTACATATCTTTTCATCTTTTGAATCATTTCTGCAGTATTTGGAACACTTTGAAAACTAAAATTATATTACTAAAAACTAAAAACTATAATAGGATTGATCAGGAATCACAGAAAAAGGAAGGCTAGGAACTACCGATGTTTGTATTTTATTTAGATAAATAAAAGTGAGTTTATGAGCTTTAAAGCTTATGTAAAGTGTATGTACATATATATACATATATGTATATATAAGCATTAAGAATATATACTAACCTTATACTTACATATAAAAAAGTAGTATTGTGAAGTATAAAAATTATATTTGATTAGTGCTAAGCTTTGTAATACCTAAATCACAAATCTTCATGTTAGATCCCAAATTATCTAGCTATGTGGAGTTCTCTCATTCAATATATATCTTAATGGAAAAATACTCTAAATGCAATGCAATAAACCTCGCAGACCTCATTTTCATAATTTAAAAATTATAATCACATAATGTTTTCATACTTCTGAAGCTTTACTATACCTGGCAAGATGGTTCTATACATAAATGCAAAGTGTCGTTTAAGCCAAGGATGGCTAAAGTGGTTGATGCCAAAGTGCCTCTGCACAAGGAACAGATACTGGAACAGAGATCTGGTGGTGTAGCTGCCATATGCCACTCCTTCATACAGGGAGCCATCAGTCACCTCTCGCAACAAGACTATGGATTTCTCCATGATGGTCAGGACTTGTTTGGTCCATAAGTATGCTTCCTGCAGATATCCTGAAGGTGAAACACATACAAACAGTGGCTAAAGACATCAACAATATGGTCAAATGCAGCCCTCAATATCATCTCATCAGTTTATGGTATTACAAATTGCCTTGTGTAAAATTCTCACTTGTTAACATTATAAAGAATATCATATTAACAGAGGCCAGTAGCCAAGTGTCCTTGACATAAGTAAAGATGCTCCTGCATACAAGTTACTTATTAATTAAATGATAATAAACCCAGAAATGGTAATGTCACTTGCAATATTGAAACAAAACTATACCACCTATCAGATCACAAAAAGAAGGTGGGTAAGACAAGATTTATACCTTAAGACTCCTATTTACTTTTCCTGAAATCTTCCTGAAAGTTCTTTTTGAAGTTTAAAAACTGTTGCTTTTATTTGATAGGGTTTGAAATAACCTATGAAATACTACAAGTGCTATGCAGAGAATTTCCAGTGTGTGCTGTCATTGTACTTTTCATGCTTTTAGATTTTACAGGATCTGAAAAGGCAGCACAGTGGGGTGAGAATCCACTGAAAAGGAATGGTGAAAATAATCAACCAGGAGTGCCGAGCTTGCCAAAATGAGCCACGTGGCTTCATCCACGCACTTCTCCAACTGGTCACATTTTTCAGTGTCCCTGCAGAAACTTCAGAGTCTAAAACAGTTTGATGAAATCTTTTGGACATAGAAATTTAGGCACATAGGCAGGAATAATTTACATAGCATTTATGATTCTTACAGCAATGAACAGAGTCTTAATCTTTTTAATAACCTGCTTATGCTTTGTTATCCATTCCCTCCCACCCCCAAATTACAGAAAGGTTGATTTGTTCCAGATGTCAGGCATATTACCCGAAAGAAACAGAACTTTGATCTAAACCTGGGACTTTAGATTTAAGATTTGGCTATTTTTGTTTGCTTTTTTTGTTTTTGACACAGAGTCTCACTATGCAATTTGGGCTGCCCTGTGCTCGCTTTTGTAGCCCCAGGCTGATCTGGAACACGTAGTAATTCTCCTGTCTCAACCTCCCAAGTGCTGCATGTGGGACCTAGATGGCATGCAGTTCCAGGGATTGAACTTAGGACCTTGTGCTTGCCAAGTAGGTGCTTATGGCTCTGAGCTATCTCCCCAGCCCCCTTATTTGCTTGTTTTTAAAACACATAATGGGTCTGGGGAGATAGCTCAGTAGAATAAACACTTGCCTGGCAAGTGCATGGTCCTGAGTTCAATCCCTGGTAGCGGAAAAAAAAAAAATGCCTGGGGATAAAATGAAGCTCACTGCCTACCAATTAGAGGACAGTCTTATTGTTTTACTTCAATAAGTGTATCAGTCACCTTCAGTGTTGACCACTCTACTACAGCCTGCATAGTAGAGGAGGTGTCAGGATGCTTACAGGCCCAGGTTCTACCAGCTCTAGGTTTGAAACCAAGTCTCTGTCTCAGACACTGGACCTGGCCCACAGGCACAATTGTGTCCTCGGCTACAGCTCTACGGAGGTGACCATTAATAGCACTTGGGCTCCTTCTACTACCCAGTTCTACACTGGACCTGGTCAGTCTTGTTCATGGCTTTCCATTTCAATTTTCTGTCATCTCATTTTTCCTCTCTGTCCTCCATCTCCAACAATATCCAGTGTCCCTGAGGCTGCTGTTCCCTGTACATTACATTATTTGAGTTTCCTTCTCTTCAATTCCCTCTTTAGGGACTATTACCTATAGGAAATATGGTGCAAACTACAAATTCCTGTCAGTACAAGGGACCGATATTTCCCTTGAAGATTTTATTAAGAATGGTGGCTGATATGACAAAGGACAAAGTTTGGTCTAGTTGAACAATCTATAAAATGTTAATTTTATGGGAATAGAAACAAAGAGTTAAATTCTCTTAGATTTTCAGAGGCCAATTGCATACTCAACATTCTAATAATTGACCGTGATCTTAAGAGCTGCTTCTCTTAAAAACATTATAATTTATAGATTTCCATAGCAGTTGTAATCAAGTTAGAGTTACAAGAAAAAAAGCAAAGCTGACAATTATGTAATATGTTAATGCAAAGAGCCATATAATCCATGAAAGCTGCTTCTAATTGTGATTTAAATGATCTAGCCTGGTTAAGTCTTTAAAGGAAAAAATAATAGTGGTGTTATAATTCCTAATTGTGTGTTAAGAATATTCTTTTCAAATAGCAAACCAACTGTGTAGCCTATCCATTTTTATTTTCATTAGTCCGGGCGTGCAGTACATCATGATCACATCCTCATGGGGTGTTGGTACATGCACAGAGCACATCATAATTCTCCTCTTCCCCTTTCTCTTCCTTGCTTTCATCTTTTGGTTCCTTTCTCTTTTGTAAAAGTTCTATTTTTCTACTTCCTAGTATCTGTCTTTTATTTTGCTCTTTATTCATATTTTGGGTTTCTCCTATGCCAAGCTGGCAGTTTTCACAGCCCAATTCTCTAGAAAAATACTCATCCCTGACCTTATGCTGTAAGGATATGGCCTGGACCATGTAGGCCATAATTACGTAACCTGCAGGCTAACAGGACTAGAAGCAACTAAGAAAGCGATATCCCTTAATTAGCTAAGAGGCACCCTGGGTGTTACTTCATCTCATGGGCTTAGTTAAGACCCAAATGTAAACATGTGCCTAAGAACAATCATTTAAGCCACTGCCATTGATGTCATCTTGGGTATTTCCCTGGCCATGATATGATCACACGCACCTTGATTCATCAGGATGAGGCTTCCTGTGAGCAGCGCCATGCAGTTGGTGGGCTGATGATTGTGCAGGTATTGAAAGCCCCATCCTCTCCTGTATGACGTTTCATACATATATCCTGAGGCATTGGCTATCACTTCAAGAAACCTTTCCTGCTGCATCTTGCTCAGGTAGTTGTACAAGAAGTCGTAAGCAGTGGCAAAACCCACCAGGGAGTGAGCCAGTGGCACTTCATCCCAAGGAGCATCTTTTACCAACCTGTAGAGACAAACAGACATGTCAGCAGCTGCACCAGGGCTCACAGCCTGCACCAGCCTTCTGATGCACCCATTTCTCAGAATTCCAGAGTACAAATGAAGACAGCATCCAACAGACCACAGGACACCAAACTGACTTTCTTCCCCATTAGAACCAAACAAAAGTTGGTTTCATGTGAAAATTAGCACCTTTCTCTAGGCTTTGGGCTACAGTAAGATTTGAGGAATTTAAATGTTTGATTGCAAAGAGATTTAAACCACAGGGCACGTAATGGCAAAATTCCCTGGAGTCCTCACCATCCAGTGCCCAGCCTTCCCTTTGCACATCAGTTTCCTCTCTTCTCGCCAGACAGTGGGACATCTAAGTCCAAGCTGCCTCAGTCAGGACAGATTTACAGGTCAACACGAGGGCAGAGGGAGATGAATGAAAAGGTAGAAGAAGATATAACTTGATTCTATCTCAGAATTCCACTATCTCATTCTTTACCATAAAATGAACCACACATTCTTTAAGGTTCTTCAGACACCTTCCGAGATTCCTGGAAGTTGATCCTCTGTGTAGTATTATATCATCACTTTTCAGGAAACCAAATCTGCTTGACTACCTACATTATTTTACAAATATTTTAATAGTGTGTGGTCTGTATTAAACAGGAACCATAATAGGATATTGTACGATCAGAACTGTGAAGAGTTATCTGCAACCCCCTCCTTCTCTGTTCAGGAGGTTTCTGAGTGATCCGAAAGACAAGGAAACGGAACGAAGAGTGCATGTGCCTGAGGAGGGGAAGCAATGCCTCAACCAGGGATTAAGCACACATCCTATGTGTGAAGCCTCAGCCTCTTTCTCAGAATGTTTTAAAATTCCTAAAACATGAAATATAGGCACATAAGGAAATCCCATACTTTGAAATGTAGCTATCAACACACATTTAAAAAAATAACAATGTAGGTATTTTAGTTAGGTACTGAATATGATATTTAATATTAATAGCTACCATAATTTATAAATGGTGATTAGCATAAACTTTAATATGTTGGTAACAACTGGAGTGCAACGTGGAAATATTTGTGGTATCACCTATCTGTAACAAAGTTTCAGGTTCTCCCAATATTAGTGCTGCTGGTTATTTCTATTAGTTGAAATTAGTGAAAATTAAAATGCAGTATTTCCTTCCAAATGAACCCCACAGACCCTAGCTGCAAAATAATTTTAAAATATTCTGAGCACCTCTTCCAGACTGTATTATTCCTTTAGACATTTATACTACTGACACCATCTTGGTGGGGCTCTCCCTAGACACCCAGTGAAAATTTCAACAAACCCTCCAACAATATTTCACCTTCTTCCTTGCTTTTCTGTACCTGTAGTAAGTACATATATAAGTATATATCTATGTGTATATGTGCATATAAGTCCATATACTTATGTATATGTGGATTTGTATATGTATCCCCTCCTAGAATTTGTTTTACTACAACACTAAGGCAAGTCTTTAAGAGTCTGTGCTACAGGGGTGTGTGTGTGTGTGTGTGTGTGTGTGTGTGTGTGTGTGTGTGAACACAGGAAGAAGCTCTCCTAGACTAAAACCTGAGACACAGCAGGGGACTGCTGCCTTATTAGAATTTTAATCCTACAGTATGTTTTTCACTGCTGCATACAAAACTAGATTCTCCACTAAGAATGGTGAGATATACCTAAAAGAGTTTCTATAAATATTTTTGGAAAGCAAAGAGGAAGGGACAAACCTATAAAGCAACACAATACTACTGACAATGATAATGGATCATTGTGGAGTCAGGCATGTGGAGGATACCTTCCCATTTAGAAATAATTAGTGAAATAATTAGTTGCCATGATGATAAAGCCTGGTATAAAAAGAATAAGATCAGCGGGTTTCTAAACCAGCTTGCTATATAACCAGCAAGTAACCTGGTGCACTTGCTGGTGCACATAGTCCTTCTAAGCTGACAGTGAGAATGTGAATCAATTCCCTACTTCTGAGGAACAAAAACTGTGAATCAATTTCCTACTTCTGAGAAACAAAACCCAGACTGTATGCTCTAGGCCAGGGAATTGGGAATATGTTTTTCATAAACTCATGCTAAATGGTAAGGCAGACACCAAGTTATTTGTACCAAGCCCTGTGTCACTATACTATGTCATGAGTACCTGTAGATGATGACTGATATAGCCACAGCTGCTATTAGAGATTTTTTTCCTCTTATTAAACCCATATACATATGAATAACCAGTGGGTTTATTCTATAGATAACAGAACATGTGACATAATCATCAGTCTGCAAGAAATACTATGTAAAGTTTTATGAAAACTCCTATGCTCCACCATATGATTTTCAATTCACTGAAAAACTAACATACTAGTTTATATATATATATATATTTCTGGTGCCTTCCGATTCATCCCCATATTACAAAAGCTGATGTACAATAGCCATAGTTCTGAAAGGTTTTTTAAATCCTTACATATACAGTCCTACCCTACCTCAGAAACAATGTGCAACAGTGGAAAAGACCACATTTTAAATCATGAGAACCAAAGAAATCTGCTCGCAGTCCATGGGTAGAAGGAAAAAAACTATCTTATTCAATGTAATGTGAACCAGAAATCAACAAATTTACTGAAAAAAAAAAACAACCAGTGAATCATGAAATCATTCTTTTAAACGCAAAACATTAATTTGTAAGTTTTGCTTTTTTTTTTTTCTTGGAGTACTTTTATTTTAATTTATTTTATTTCAAAATTTTATTGATAAACAGCAATGAGACAGTTTCAAATCAAATCGGAAGTATAGTTTCAACAAATAA